ACACATACACATACACCCACACAAACGTGCAAGTTACAGATATATATTTTCTTTTTTTTTTTAATAAATACTTATTAATTCATCATAAATTTATTTTTGTGTTTAACAAATAAGCATTAGTTTGTAATAAATTACATTATAGATTAATATTTATGTTAAACATAGAAATGCCAGCAAATAATTTAATATTTACTTTGTGTGTGTAAAAAAAGGGAAAATATATATCTATATATATTACAAAGAAGATATATTTGTATTTAGAAGATCTAGTATTGTATTTATATATTATGTATTATACAAGATATAGACAAATGAAAAAAGAGTTATGGGATAACTCGTGTGATGTTAAGAATATATATTAGATAAAATATCATAAGCATCTCTCCCTTAAGAAATTATCCCAATATAATATCTTGCGGATTATACTATTGAGTTATACAGTTATGACAGAGTGTATTCTTATTAATTAAATTTTTTAAGATCTATTGCTATTATCTGTTTGGTATAAATTCTATACCAAAATTTAAATGCTAAATGCATATTATGTATTTTGTGTAACATTGTATGTTGTATCAATTTACTTTGCCTCGCTAGCACTTTCTTTTTAAATTAAAATTAATTTTATTAAATATAAGATTGGCGTACTTATGATTTTGTTACGTAAGGAATCTTCTTTCTTTTGACTTTTATTTCATAATTCATTAATGTTTAATTTTTGCAACGTCAAAAAATGTAAATTGTACAATGATGTAATACCGCATCATAGACCAGTCATAATGTTACGTGCAATTGATACATCAAATAATCTAACGTTTTGATAATATAAACAAAAATTATAAATATAATGTTTATATTACATAAATTAAGGCATTATGTATAGTTCTTTTTTGTTGCATGCCATTCATAAGAATATTAACAAAGAGCATAAAGTATCGCACGTTTACGCAGTTATATTTCAAAAAGTATGCCGTTATCTATCGAGTTAAATGTATATATGCGTATGTTCATGTGTGTATGCATGTTACGTTATGTGTGCTTGTCGATTGAAATACTCAATGTTATGTCGTTCTGTATGCATTGTCGTAACCAAACACGAATAAAAAGAATGTCTTTTCAGGATGGTGCTGTATCATTTGTATTGAACGTCTTAGGAATCTAATCATCTTTTAATTTTTTTTAGAATAATATATGTTTTATTGTTTAATTTTTGTTGAAATTGGAAAATGTGAATAAACACGGATGGATTTTTATAAACATATTTTATAATACGTTTATAAAAATGAAAAATCCATTCATGTTTATTCACATTTTTTATTCGACGATAAATACTGGTCTTAAAGATTCTTATTTTATTAGAAGATATTAAGGCTTGGCTATTTTGAGACGTTTTATTGATTGTATGACATTAGATTAGTTGCTATGTATAGTTTTATTTTTTAATTTTCTCTTAGAAATGAAATGTTTTTATTGTAATTTTATATAATTTTGTAATCCTGAAACTTGTAAAATATGCGGCAAACTGAGATATGTGTTCAAATTGAGACATATGTCACAAAAGTGTAAAGTATTTATTGAATGCAACGATTTTTGACAGCTGAAAAATGTACTATTATTTTAAGAATTATTACATACTATTTTTTTAGGACACAACTAAGACACTATAAATATACTAATATAGATTTAATAATATATGTTATATATTAATATATGAAATAAGTATTATGTATTAAGTTTGCTCCGAAAGTTTCCGCAAAATTGCGAAGAATGTTCTCATGATAAATTTTTCTTTCGAAAGTTCAAATATGTCTCACGGTGAACGAATGAATGTTTATTGATGTGGAAAAGGCAAATGCGTTATTAAAAGATAAAATAAAGTTAGCATAGCAACAGTTTTAATGTGACACGATGCCCAATGCCATATTGCGGATACTTTCAAAACAACCTCTACATATAATATAATTAATATTTTTATTAATATAATTTATATTATTAAAACATAATTTATATTATATTGAGATATTTATAGTATAAGTACTACTAATAGTTCGTCCAACATTAAAAAGCCTCTTGAGATTCCGAGGCTTTATCTCAGTACTTTGAGCATTTGACTTGAATTTCTTCGGTAGACTTCTAAATCTTGTTGAAATTATTTAATGCTGAATCTGAATGGCGATTGTAGATCTCTTAATCACCAGATCGAGTCATTTTTTGCTCCTTAAACGCGATACTAATAATTGTGTCAATAATTTCATATTTTATAGATTTCAGGATAACAAAATCATTATGTATGTATTTAAGAGAAAACTAAAAAATAAAGCTGTACGTAGCAAGTAATCCGTTGTCATATAACCAATATAACGTCTCAAGATAGTCGAGCCTTAACTGCATTCTAAGTTTTTGTTTGTAACGTTTCTATCCAAAGAAATATGCATTCATATATGTATCACAGGTCTATGTATATCTTACACCTTATTTGAGAACGATATTTACATTGTCACGTGAAAGATAATACTAATTGTAGAATGTTAAAGTGAGATCGATTATATATGTATATCTATGAGTAGCACTTATAAATTTGAATATTATAATGAATGCGGTATATTCTGCCATATTGTCTGTTAGTAAATTAATTAGCTCAGCGCACATATTTATGATTGTAGTAAATTATTGCAAAATATCGCGATTTATTCACAATTTGTAATTAATTAATACGTTGTTATCAAACTTATCTTAAACTTCATTTGCAATTGTTATTGCATGATTGGCATTAAAGCTTTTTGAACTTATTTTACTGAATATGATAATCGCGATACACATATGGAGAGTGTAAAAGTAATAGGCTTCGTTCAGCAGAAAAAACTAATCATTTAGCGCTTAGTGATTTGTTAATACGATTTGTTCTTGTCTTTAGTTCTTTATTGGATTTAAGTGTAGGAGAACCAATCATATTAAAGAACCATTAAGTGTTTATTGATTAGTTTTCTTTGCTGAACACAGTCATAGTGATGTAAGTCATTTTTTTTTTAAATCTGTTGACTTGAAATCGTTGGTGCAGTCTACTGAAGCAAATGTATTAAAGATCTTTTGTTTCTTAAAATTATAGAAGTGACTTACACCACTTTTGTAACTCTCACTCTTCCAATTTTATATACTTATATAATATATTCTTCTCATGGTGATAAATTATGGCGTTTTCTTCTATAATCAAATAAGATATTTTTTACACCGGTTAAAACAGACCGATAAATGATAAGACTAGATGCTATCTTTTTAGATGCCTTTTTCAGAACAAATTTTGTTGCAATTTTGCGAATGACATTTTTTACAAATGTCGATATATTAAATTTGCTCGTGCAGATCAGAAAAAAATTATGTCACGTTATAGAAATATAGAATATTCATGTGAATATTTAGAAGTTATAATCTCTTTGAGAAATTCATAAATTGTGAATTAAACTTTACATGCATTTTTATCATGATATGATGCACAGTTCAATATAAAATTACAACATAAAATTGCATAATTTTTCTCTCATTTGCGATCTTTATTGCTTTATTTATCATCTTACATTAACTTTAGTTAAAATCCTTTAAAGTGGATTTTTAAAAATTCTATTTAATGTAAAGGTCACTCTTTATATATAGTTGTGGAGTTGAATACTGTATATCCACAATGTTTAATGTTGACTGTATGGATCATTGTTTTTTTATAATCATGTTTGAACGGTGATATGCGATGTACGTTAATAGTAATACTTTATGAAATACGTCTGAACACACTTGATCTAATCATTATAGTATAATATTTAATTGCGTATGCATAATTGCTAAGATTATTTCATTGTGGTTTTGTAAGAATTTTTAGATCAATGTTATGTGAAGTTCGTAGATGCACAAGTATCATTTCTCACGATCTTATTTACATGTATGTATATAGTAGATGAAAATAGCGTGCGAAATGAGAAATGCTCTATGACTTTGGAAACATAGTACAAGACAAAACTGCTCGATTTATATCCCTTGATGATATACGTTCTATGTACATTTATTAAATATATATTAAAAAGTAATAAATGTCTTGAGAATAATCCAAATGTTTTTTATTACGAAATGTTACTGTTTATTACGTATTTGTTCAAGTTGTGATTTTTGTTATTAATGGATAGTTGTAATTATTTCTGTAAAAGAGATTTTAATTTAAGATGCAAATATTTTACGAATTTTTGTAGACTCATAATTTAGATAGAACAAATAAAAATTTTGAAATTATATATTTATTTTGGATACATTTTTACTGTACATTAGAAAAAATAGGTATTTCTCCAGAAAAGTGGAAATTGAAAAATTAGAACACATGTATTGAGATTTTCTTCTTATAAATTAAAACACGATATACCATATATTATTTTATAAGTATTTTAATTTATGTTTTTTTTTCTCAAGTTTGATAATTGTTCAACAGATGGAGTTAAAAGATGTATCAACTTGAGCGCTCAAATAGCTAATTTTATCGTAAAAAAAAACTACCAAATATTTTTATTCTTATATATAAAGTTTGAGATACTAACTCATTAAGAAAATTAAATTTCTATCTACAAATTAAAAAAAATGTTTATCTGTATATGGCTTTTAACTTAATTAAAAGTATTGTTTATTTAAAACATAAAAGAATTTGTATCTTTTTATTTCTCTCGTGATGAGGAAGCTACACAGAGAAATATACCATAAATATGATATTTTGACTATAGTATATTATATTAATTTACAAAATAATAATAGATTATTTAAAGCAGAAATGTGTTTTTATATTTGTTTATTTGAAGCTTTAATATCGCTTTTAATTTATTTAGAGATATTATTATTTTTATTTTTGCATAGTATGCTAGTATATATAAATATACTATGCTAGTATATATAAAGCAGTAGGACTGTATGAGTAGGAAACTGTATCGAGCATAAAAGTGTTGCTTGACTATTTGGAGCAGAAATATGCTTTTATATTAAATTTATATTACTGTTTATTGAATGTCCCTCAATTTTTTGTACAATAATGTAACAGTAGAATTAATTACGACTTGGTCACGTCGATAATTCTATTATAATAACAATATTAATTACAAAGGACGTGAGTGTAGTAATGTATGTGTGCCATGTCCAAGGCATGACTTCAACCATCTCTCCTTTTTGTCAATTGAATCGACATCAAGCTCAATAACGGTTCGCAGAAACTTAGAATGTTGATTTTCCGACAAGAAGATTATTAGGCACAAAACATAGCGAAATAAAGTAATTTAATATCCTGCCAATTCGGCGAACGTCGAGTCCATTTCGTCGGCCAACGACTTGTATCTGTCCTTGTTGATGCCCAATTCGTCTGAAATGCAAGATAGTTATTTTTATTTCTATTTGAGACAAGAAATATTTATATTTAAATAGAATAATAATTACATTTAAATAGAACAAATGGAACTTACCTTCGAGCCTATCAACCTCCTTCTGGAGTTTCTTGACGGTCTTCTCGGCGAACTCGGCGCGAGCTTCAGCCTCCTTCAATTTAACTGTCAAAGTCTTCAATTGGCGTTTGAATTCTTCGACTCGTTGATTAGCCTAAAGATAAAGATAAGCATTTAAATTTAATTTTAAATAGTTTAACATTTTTATTAATTATATGTAATGTTTATTGTGTTCACACTTGAGAATCACATATATACCTTTTCTTCAGAAACTTCCAAAGATTTCAAACTGTTACCGACGACTTTCAATTCTTCTTCCAGCTCCATGATCTTGCTAAGAAAAAGTAGAAAACGGATAAGTTATAAAAATATGACTAAGTTTGATTTACTTGTTCAGGCATTATGCCAAATAGTTCTGGCACTTACGCTTCGCCGGATTTGACACGATCCTCTGCGACTTCGAGCTCGTCTTCAACGAAGGCCAGCTTGCGTGACACTTCATCAGATTTTCCATCAGCGTCTTCTGCGAGTAGGCGGGCCTCCTTCAATTGATTTGTCAATTGGTCCATCCTTTCCTCGTCCTGTTGTGAACGGTTTTCCAATACTTTGCACATACTGTAATTGTATCATATTTTGTAATGTGGTATATGGATGTGTAGATCGATTAAGTCATTCAATTACCGGCTAGACTCGTCGGCGGCCTGCGAAGCTTCAGTCAGCTTGGCGGACGCGGTGTTCAATCGTTCCTCCGAGCGCTCGAGATCCTCCTCGATAAGTTGGACTTTACGGTTAAGGGCAGCAACCTCAGATTCAGCCTAGAAGAACCGAATATACAAGGAATTCATACAGTATTGCTTTTTCTATTTATTTATAATATAAAACAGGAATAGGAAGTAAGTAATGCCATTACTTTTTATATATCATTACTTTTTATAATGACGATTTGGTAATGACGTTGCAATTTTTTTATGGCGGTAATGATATAAAATATGAAGTATAGCAATAGCAATGTACGAGAGTGGATCAAATATAAACGAGAATTTTTTAAAAAATTCTTTTTAAAAAATTTGCTCCAATTTTTAACGCGTTTAATTCGCCTTGCGTGGTCGAGCGTTGTCATGGAGCGTCTCTGATTAATTGGCGTCATCTTTTGATCCGATAAGCAGCCTTAATAACTTTCAAAAAATAACTCGTCAAGAAATTGGCATCGGTATGTAATGTTTCGGTCGGTCTCCAGAAGGTCACGAACCGCACGAATATTGTCTTCCATTAGACTCGTCCTGGGACGGCGATCGTGACTCTCATTTTCGAGTCTCTCGTCCTCCAGAGAGCCTTGTGCCAAAACAACAGGTGGGACTGTGAGAGGGTTGATTCCCCGAATTGTTGGCGTAATCTACGGAGAATTTCAACAGACCGAACCCCTCCTTTGTTAGAAATTTAATTACGATCTGTTGCGCAACGGACGGATGAATCTCTTTCTCGTTCATCTTGTGGCAGACTGTCGTACCGATCCGAGGATGCTCTCAGGCTAGAAATCCCCTTCTAATATCTTCACCAAAACATCCTCAACATTGCTTCGTTCTCCTTTACCTTCTCTAGGCTCCAGAGCGAAATTCTCATTTATATTTGATCCACCCTCGTATATATATTATTATATATTATATTGATATGTGCATTTACTTTTAGCTCGGGAATCAAATTATGAATATGAGTTGTGGACACGAGTATGTATTATTTTTTATACACTACAAAAAAAAGCCTTTAAAAGGTTTTGAAAAATTTTTGTAAATCGAGAACATTCTAATGAAAAATTTAATTTAATTTTTTTTGTAAACTTTAACTTCAAAATAAAAAAAAAACATATAGTGTTGCTATAAAGAAAGTATGTAGATAAAATGAATACTTTTTAAAATAAGCAACTGTGTGTTTTCTTTACGTTGATTTATCTCATTGTTCTGTTTATAAAAGTATTAAAGAACGATTAAAAAATAATGCGAGTACAAAACATCTCGTAAATTATTGATGTTTTGGTAACTTTATTTTAATATTTTTATATACGAAATAATTAAAGAATTATATTATGTAATGGAAATCGTATAATTCTATTTAAAAAAATGGCGATATCATTTTATGTGATCTTAACAAATTGATTTTCTTTAAATTAATTTTATCAATATATATTTGCGTCCCTTTAGATCGTATATTTTTATCTGAAACATTTTTCATACTTTCCAAGATGTTCGACCCATTTCAAACGTATGGCTCAGCTATATATACATATAAAGCTTACATTGGTAAGAGATTTCTCGCGATCTTCAAGATCCTTATTAGCCTGCTCGAGAGCTTGCTTGTTAGCTTCCAGATCACCTTCAACCTGAGTTAATTTTTTCGAGAGATCCGCAACCTCCTCGAGAACCTTGTCTGCGCGCAAATTCGCCTCTTTTGCCTGTCCTTCGCAGGTGTCAGCTTTGTCCATAGCATTGTCTTTCTCAAGCTTCATCGCTTGCATTTTCTTCTTGATGACATCCATGATGGCGGCTTTGTTTCGCGGACCGTATCAACGAAATTACCGAGTTTGCTGAAAATACAAGTATATTATAAATTCCATCGTCGCATCGTTGACTAACGATCATTTGCGCTTGTATGCGAAGATGGTATGCATTTTTTTTTGAGTTCGACGGGTGCATTTCGGCTCTCCAAAAATATGCGTGCACGGCTTGCGAGCCATCGAGCCCGACGTTCTGCAAAACCATAATTCCGGTAGGTGATCGCAACGCGTAAGCACGAAGAGAAGTCACGCATCAGGGCGTCTACGGAAATAGCATCTACAGCCCGATTCTATAAATATGTGCGGAACGACGGCGGCAAAAGCTTCTTCTGACGCCGCGCGGCGCAAGAACAGGCCAAAACGTAACGAGTGTAACCCAGAAGAACGGGCTTTACTTGGCCGCCACCGTCGACCGACATTCGATCTAACCGACGCGTATTAATAGCATTTTACAAAATTTCGGCGGCTTCTCCGCGATCGCGGCTTCCTCGCGCGAATTTTACGCTCGCGAACAAAGCTATTTCATCGCGATGCGTCCTTATGACAATTATGTGACAAAATTGACACGCGAGAGAACGTAATAAAGTATTCAATGCGCCACGAGGAATATCACAATTTTACAAAAGAATATTATTATGCAAATTCAAATATAATAATGTAATACTATTTGTGTTATATAAAATAAACAAATTTATAATCACCAAGCGCAAGTTTAAAACAATACTCAATATGTATGAAACATATTAAAGCAGAAATATCGTTAATAGAAGATAAATACAGGTGACAATATAATATGTTATATTGATTTTCAATATGTATAAAGCTCTGTTTTAAATATCTGCTTGTCGTGTAAAATAAACGTTTCTCTCAACCAAGAACAAAAAAATCAAATTATTCGACGATACATTTTGTAAAAGAAATTTACAAATTACCGTAAAAAATATAATCAAAATATTATTTAAACTTGTAACATCTGATTCCGAGGTATTAATAACTTATTGAGGAGCTGTGTTGATTACATTTGTCATTTGATGTCATAGTGATGCAATGCTATAGCTATTATGTCTACCGTCGAAAAAAAGAATACGATTCGATTTCGTAAATGACGCGCGGAGATATTATTTTACAAATAACTTTTTCGCTTTCGGTGAGCGAGTCAATAGATTTATCGTATTATATAAAGAGTAGTATTCGAGGGATATTATATTCAATAAAATGTATGTATACGTAACATAACGAATCAGCGCATGCACGCAGTTGACAGTTACGAATACTACTTACGGCATTGCTTTATGTTAAGCCCGAAAGCAAATTCTTCAAGCGTTAGCAGAGCTGTTATTATTTGGCAGCGGTTAGAAAGTCTTGCAAAGCTGTCCAGTTTCCAAGACATTTCGGGTCTTCGTGAAACGAATCTAGCTTCCTGTAAGAAGTTAAACGTCGTCTCCGTCGTTCAATAAAAAAAAAAAAGAGAGATAGAATGTAAATCGAATAGATACACATGCAAGCTAGAGCAGAAGATAAGACTATATATTTCAAAGCGTCCTCTTTAAGGAAAATTTTACTTGATGTAATATGATATACGTTACGTGTACCACATGTATATATTTTGATAAAATTTTCTCAGAGAGGACGTTTTGAAATGTAGGTCTAGAATATAAAATTGGGTGATAGATGCGCAAGCTAGACCAAATCCTTGGCGGAAGTAAAAATTGGAGCGTAAATTAAATGTAAGAGAATGACAGAAAGCTTTTAGGAGGCGAAAATTGAGGCAACGAAGTGTGAAAGAGGCTTCTTTTACATTTCATAGTTTCAATTTTCACTTCCTAGAATTTTCATTTACACTTCTGTTACTTCCTCTTATATTTGATTTACACTGAATTTTATTTTTACCAGCGGATAGATCCACTGTCGAAATGTGTTAGAAACACACGTCGAGTATTTGAAATGGCAGACAAACCACGTAGAAATGAACTTCAATTTCAAGCACTACGTAACTATCGGCACTGAATCGTTTGCTGCATTCTTTTTTTTTTTTTTTTT